CAGCCACTTCCTTTTACTCTTCTTCCTTCTGTCAGGCAACCCGCCTTATTGCCAATGTATTATTGTGGCCGACATGTCGTAGAAAAGAAATCAAAGCAGCCGAAAAAAACAAAAAGAGGTGAGAGAGGGAGAGAGAGAGAGTCTGTGTGTGTGTGGGAGGGGAACTGTATATATATATATATATATATATATGTATTTTCAAGAGGTGTATGTGTGCATTGCTATACTTGCTCTCCAGGGAAGAGAAGGGGCTGAAACAAAAGGAGGGGCGTGGTGGAAAACGGAGAAAAAAGAAAAAGAAGAAGGGGGTGGGGAAGATATGTTCCTTCAATCAATAAATAAAAAAAGAAAATGTTTTTATGTTTTAAATAAAATAAAAAGAGAGGAAAATGGGTGAAAGGCTTTTGCGTGGCTGAAAGACTTTTACGGTGAGAATATACACATGCATCTCTTCTTCCACCGCCCCCTCAAAAGGAATAAAGACCGCGAGCGAAGACTTTGGGGGGGGGGGGGAAATCGCACTTGTTTTTTTGAATATATAAATATATATTTGTAGATGTGTGCACACGTGTATCGATTCCATTATTTTTCTGGCGACGATGGCGTCGTTGATTGCTGTTCTGACAGGCCCTTGAAACACGCGCTGAGCTCCATGATCCTGCCCAGCAACTGTTGTGCATTGTCGGTGAGTTTATACGACCGGCAACGGGCCTTGGAGAGCACGTCACATGTCAGCGAGAGTGTCTTTTCCACGTCGAGGTCCACCCGTGATGCGGCGTTGAGAAGATCGAAAAGCAACGAGGACCTTTTTTGATTCGTTGCGTCTTCGTCGTCGCCCTTTCCGCCCCCGCACAGCGGCGCGGGTTGATCCTCGATGAGCTCGACACATCCCCGCGAGTGGTACACGCTGGTGAGGGGCGCCACGGGAGCCGTCAGGTACGTGGAGACCGGGCTTGGGGGCTGCGGCAGCGTAGAAAGCAGCAGCTGCTGCTCAGCGAGCAGTTTGCGCAGATTCGGCTCCTTTATGACGACAATAGCCATTGATACCTCCTCCGTTCCTTTCCTCTTGACTTTATATATCGCCTCTTTGGCGTTAGTGAATAAAAAGAAAAAAAATGTTAAAAATAAAGGAGAAAGAGCAAAGCCATTAAAAACAAGAACAGACACACATACACACACATAAATACAAATGTGGCAGACACCCCCCCGCCGCCAACCGTTCGTGTGTGCTTGCACCAGATGAAGAACAATTCAAATAAATGGGTATGATGGCACGCCTACACATCGCGGGAGTACCGGAGCAAACGCCGTTCTCACGTTGCTGCAAACGACCCCTTCTCCCACCACTCCACTCAGTTTCCTCCTCTGGCCCTCTTCGGGATCCTTCCGTCCTGTCACTTTACATCATACATCCAACATGACACAAAAATAAAAAGAGGGTCAAATTTTTCTTCCTCATTCCTTCTTTGGCCTCTTCTTGGACTTCCTGCTCTTCGCCCTCTCGGCCTCGGCGTCCAGGATCATTTGCATGTACTCGGCAACGTGCTGCAGCCTGTCGTCGAGGGTCTCCTCCTGCACCTCTCCCACCTCGACGCGAATGCCATCGGCGTCACTGGCGGCAAAGGCGAGGGTTCTTCGCATCTCGACGGACTCAATCGAGTTGGTGAAGTCAAGCAGCTTCAAAACCTTCGCGGTGCCAATAAGTTCGGCAGTCGCATCCACCGTTTTTGTACCGAATGTGTTATCAGCGCAGCTCACCATAACGAGAAATGTGTTCTTTAAAAGCGCCTTGACAATGATTACACCACCGTCATCGGAAAAGCCGTTGCTCGCTAAGTTCAGTCGCTCTAGCGCCGGAAGATTCGCCGTGATGAGTGCCGCCGCTTCGGGCGCGCCTTCGTCGCCCAGCATGCAGTTCCCTAAATTGAGGGAGCGTACTCGGTTGGGTGCGGCGGTGAAGTGCTGGCGGAGTAATTGCATCCCCTTCAACCCAAGTGTGTTGCTGTGTAGACTAACTTCGAGTATGAATTCATTGTTTTCCAGCAGCCGACCCACCGCCTCGCACCCCTTGTGGCGAACATCGTTACGGAACAGGTTGAGCGTTGTTGTGCCTTTTCCAGCAAAGCGTTGCATTGCCTCGCAGAGACACGTGGTGCCGGCGTCACCAATTTTGTTTGCCATGAGGTGATATACACATAGCGGGTTACGTTGCATGGACCGCAAAAGACACTTCGTTCCCAGCGGGCCAACGTTGTTCCAACTGAGGTCGACAGAGGTGAGATCGCGGTGGCACGCCGCCGCCTTACTCATGGCCAACAGCGTGTCGTCGCCCAAGTCATTTCCCGCCAGAATGATGGTGAACAAGTTGCGGTTCCACTGTCCGGGCTGCCCATTGGGATTGACATTTGGAATGAAGGCACTGGCCAGCGCTATCCCTCCCACGTCTGTAATACCGTTCTGCGCAAGATTCAAATATTGAATGGTTTCATTTTTCCGAAGAACCTCCGCCATCGTCACGGCTCCCTCATCACCGATATTGTTTTGCGAAAGATCTAGGCGCACCACATGTTTGTTCTTCATGAGAGCCGTACCAATGATCAAGACACCGCGGGGGATGATTTTCCTCCCCTGCAGCTCAAGAGTTGCCTGGAGAAGTGCCGTCCGCCACTTCCTTCTTGTGTAGAAGTTTGTCGTCGGATCTTTGCTAGTTCCTGGAGGCGGTATCTTTTCCTTCTTGGCCATCCTCACGTCAATACCCCTCTCACGCTTTCTCCCCCCTCCCCTGTGCGCATGTGCACGTATTTGCAATAAGGCGGAAAACAACATTAGTGAAAAGAGAGAAAAGGGGGGAGATGATGTCTACAAAAAAAGTGCATATAACAAGCGGAAACAGACAAAAAAACAATTACAAATATCCTCCCGTACATTTCCTGCTGCCCGTTTAATCGCACCAATTGTTGTAATTTCAATGAATTTCCTTTTGCATGCGGCGTATATTATACGACAACTTTTACTACTACAGATCCATCTTTCGCGGTTGACGGAGGGCGGCGAGAAAGGCCTCTTTTGTGGCCACTTGCTTCTTCTCATGAACTTTCTCTGCTGTCATGTGCTTCTCCTCCATTTCAACCACCGCCCCCGCCTTTCGAGCCTGGGCGAGTGAATTAAAGAGGCGCACCACACCTGCCGTGGCGACGGTGCGCAGACGGTACTCATATTCGTGTCGGTTCTGGTGAGGCAACAGGCGGTTGTGGCTTTGATCCTTGACGGCGCGGTGCAGCAGCTTCAGGCCCATCGCCTCCGCAGGTGTGCGCTCAGCGGCGACGTCTGTTTTGGGCACCAGCCTCTCCGTCCGTTTCCCGACAATCTCCATCGCCGCCCTGCCGACCGGTTTTTGCGACGCGGTGGCAGCTGCTCGCGCGGTGGCGTTGGACAAAATTTTAACGCGCGTGTTTTTGGCGGCGTTCGCCTTCTCGTCGTCATTTGCGGCGGCACCCGTCAGTTCCGCGATGCGCTGCTGAAGACACTCCGACGAAAGTTTGGGAGCCCGCCTCACCAACGCCACAGTCCGCTTCTTCTTCGCCTTCCGCGCCGCCCTGCTTTTCCGCGGTCTCGACAACTCCCCCACCGCGCCGCGAAATCGCCCAGCCATCGACCCCTCCCCTCCCCCAACCCACACAAACACACACATACGGAGGGAGATAAAGAGATAAAAGGAGAGAAAAAGACATATATATATATGTGTGTGTGTGTGTGTGTGATGCACCCAAACAACACAAAGAGCACACGCGAAGGTGGAGTCAATTTAACACGCGCGATAAAGACAAAATTTTTTTTTTCAACTTCATTAAAACCGCACACACAGAGAGAGAAAGAAAGAGAAAAAACAACAACAGAGGGACGTATGCGCATTTATTCGACCAGAGTCCCTTGTTCTTTCTTATCGGATCTCCCTTCTTATTAGGCGTCATATTAAAAAAAAAATATTGATTCCTTTTCAACTTATTTCCACTATCCTCCCTCCCGGCTCCTTTTATTGCTCAGACATTCAACGACGAACGCACGAAAAAAAAAAAAAAAAAGAAGGAGAGGCTCTCACACAATCTTTTTCTTTTCGTTTTTCTTCACCTTTACGTGCCCGGCACTGCATGTGCCTCCCACAATTCCCTCCTCCTCCTCCTCCCCCCGCACACATATACGCCAAGCCTCTGTGAGCTTGGTCAGCGCGCTAGTAGCGTCGCTGGACACGACGACCCCCGCCACTGCCATAACCATTACTGCGATAACCGTTGCCGCCACCGTTACGGTAGTAGCCGTTGCTGCCACCGCGGCCGTTAAAATAGCCTTGGCCGCCACCGCCACGGTTGCCACTGTTGAGCTCCCGTGCAATGATCGGCGGCAGGGTCTCGATGACGCCGAGTTGCATTCCACGGATGGGGGCTGAGAGAATCTGGTCCGCCACCTCCTCTGGCACGTCAAACACGCATCCAGGTGATTCCTGCAGAAGCGTGATGTCTCTGCATCGCGTAAAGAGATTGTCTCCAAGACTGTTGCGGAGAATACTGCAGAAAACGGGAATAGGCAGGGTGCGCTGCCCCAACATTTGAATCGTTACGGATCCCTTCGCCCCCGTTATGAGACCACGCCGTGTGATGCTGCTGGTGTAGCCGCTCATAACCGCAATGGCGGAGGCCAAAATTTCAGTCGCGTCAGCGTCCTTCAGCAACTCCGCGGCCTGCTCCATAAAGAGGTTTGTGGCACTACGCTCCACCCGCGCCAAGTCCTCAGCCGCGTCTCTTGCAACGGCCCTGAGGATCTCGTCCCGTGTCGGGGCTGGAAGCACCTCAAACTTAATTTTCGCGTGGCGTTCAATACGCTCCACAATGTATTCATCCTTTGGTTGATGCAACAGCACACAAACACCCTTTCGGCCGGCTCGACCTGTCCTACCGGCACGATGAATGAAGGCGTCAATGTCAGTAGGAGGGGCACATTGAATGACAAGGTCCACCATAGGCAGATCTAACCCACGGGCCGCCACATCGGTCGCAATGAGAACGCTGAACTTATTGTCCCGAAAACTCTTCATTGTACTCTCCCGCTGCTCTTGCTGCATATCACCATGTAAACACTGGGAGTCCAACTTTGTGTTGTTGATAGACAAATCATGACATTCCTTCTTGGTGTTTGTAAAAACAAGCGTACGTCCATGGCGTCCGCTATAAACTTTTACAAGATCCGCCAACATGCAAGACACCTCACTGAAGTGACACTTTCGGCGGTAAAACTTGATGGTGTTGGCGGCACGCATCGTCCCCTGCCCAACCATGTCAATAAATTCCTTGTTTCTCGGGATGAAGGAGCAGGTGTGAACCCACTCTGGCACGGTGGCGGAGAACAAGAGGGTCTGATGAGTTGGATTTCCCTCCGTTGATCCGTTCTGCTCCGCCACCTTCTGTAAGAGAAGCTCAATGTCGTCCTTAAAGCCAATATCAAGCATGTGGTCCGCCTCGTCAAGGCAAACCACCTTGACGCGGTCAAAACAGAGAGTACGTTTCTCCAAAAAGTCCTTTGCACGACCCGGAGTCGCCACCACCACATCCACGCCGCTGTAAAGTGCCCGCTCCTGCGTGCTGTACGCAACACCGCCGTAGAGCGCGGTGACAACAAATCCTTTACTGATGCCAGCAATGACATCCCGCACCTGAATGGCCAGTTCGCGGGTGGGGCAAAAAATCACGGCAGCAGGACCTCGCCCGCGCACAGGCTGTTCGTTACTCTTCGTCGTTCGGGCGAGCTTCTCCACAATGGGAATGCCAAAGGCAAGTGTTTTACCGCTTCCTGTTCGCGCCTGCACCAACACGTTAGATCCCTTCATGATCGCCTCGTAGGTGAGTGCTTGGACGGGGAACAAGGTGGTGATGCCCTGGCTCTTGAGTGCCTCAACCGTGTTTGGCAGAAGATCAAAGTCGGAAAACGGCCGACCGGTCAAGGCAGAGCCATTGTTCGGCGCCTCCCCGCCGCCCGATTTATCGTCACTTTCATTCGTCTCATAGCGGGCACGCTTCTCTGCTGAGGGGTTTTCACCGCCATTCCTTGCCGCCATTTCTTCGGCAGTCCTCCGAGGCATTTGACGTCGCACCACCCTCTGTGTCTCCGTGTGTGTGTGTGTGTGTGGCGCCGCCCTTTCAGTTCCTTTTACTTTTCGTTTCCCTTTAATTATTTTCGGTTAAACGGGTTGCGTGGGAGGGACGTACTTGTCCTCCTCCGTCTGCGCTTTTATTGTTACTTCTGACTACTGTCTTCCTGGATCGCCTCCGCTGCCTCTGCCTCCTGCCTGTGTATCTGCACGCACGCACGAGAAGTGGAGGGGGGAAAAAAAGGAGGGACGGCGACGGTGAGTGGGCGGACGACTCTACTAAAGGAGGGGAAAAGAAACAACTTCACGGCCCCCCTCTTCTTAAAGATAATTTTATTCCCTTTTTTTTTTTCTTTTTTATTTATTTGTCTCAAAGAAAGCAATCGTTTGCCGGATTTCTCCCCTGCTGTCACAATTCTCGTGATGAGGGCTCCGCGCGGCTCGTCTACACACAAACAAAAAAAAATAAAAACAAAACAAAAGAAAACACATCACTCGCAGCCAGTGGTAGATTCAATGGAAATATAAAGAGAGAGAGAGAGAGAGAGAGAGGGAGGGAGGGGCACAACAGTCAGGGGGGCGTTGCGGCTCCATGCCAAAAGAAAAGGAAAAGAAAAGAGAAGAAAAAAACAACAATCAAAACACAACCGGTGACGCCGCGTACGTTCCCTCCCCTCCCCCAACCCAAAAAACCCTCCTCCGATTTCAACAAAAGCACACACAAGGAATAAGAAGGAACAAAGGTAAGAGCACATATAATATATAAAACGCATGCAATAATGATATTAGCGTAGTCAACTACGTCTTTTAAATTTTCCTTCTCTTTTTTCTTTTGTTGTTTTCCCCCTCGTGTCGCGTTGCTTCGCCGGCATTCTTCTCACGCCTTCTGAATTTAATTGTGTAAAAAGATATAAGTTTTTTGTTTTGTTTTCGCCTTCTTTTGATCCTTCCCCCCCCCCCCTCCCCCTCTTTTTTTTTTTTTCTTCCTTTACTTCTTCGTTGCCTTCACTTCCTCTTGTCTTTTTTTCCCTCTTTTTTCCTCGTTTTCGTTTTCGTGCTTTGTTTTTTGTTTGTGTGTGCGTGTCCCTCCTTTTTTTTTTTTTTTTTTGACGGGGGAGGGTTTTATTTCGGATTTTTTTGTTTGCTTGCGCATGTCTCTTGGCAAATGTGGCAAACTCCAGTTTTTGCATGCATGCATGGATATATATATATATCTTATACCTCCACTCCTCCTCTCAATTCCAGACTACAGACAGAAGCCAAAATATGATTTCACGGAGGATCGTGAAGAGCCAAATGGGACACTAATGCAGCGGCCGCCAACGGAGGAGTTGCCATTGTCGTAAAAAGAGCTCTCTGGGGGCTTCATTGCCCCAAACGCCAGCTTCATGTACTCCCGATCTCCCATGAACTCACGCAGTTGCCAGCCCTCATCGTCCAAGCCACCCACACTGCTGCTACCACCACCACCACCATTACCCTCTTCCTCAGCCGCTTGCGGATGGAACCAGGCGTACTGAAGCGCCTCCCTCGCCCGCGGCCTCTTTGACGGGTCAAAGAAAAGAAGGGCCTTCGTCAGATCAATGGCCTCGCGAGGCACGCTGCTCCATTGCGTCTCGGCGAAGAGTGGCCCAGCCTCCATCTCCTTGACAAGTTGCATCTTGTTTCCGGAGTGACGGAACGGAAGTTTGCCAACCAACATAACGTACAGAATGGTACCTACGGCGTATACATCCATGCGAGCGAGGAGGTCGGGCGTTGTGGCGAGTTGCCCGCCGCTCTGCGTGAGACTTTTCACCGTTTCTGGTGCCGCGTAGTTCAGCGTTCCGCATGGTGTTGCGATGAGCGGACTGTCGCAGTGGGAATCAATGGATTCCACGGATGTTGGCTCTGGCAATGCACGCAGTGAAAGCCGTGTGGCTCCCAAACGCCGGTGTCCACCGCCCCTGCGGGCGAGCATCCGCGCCAGACCAAAGTCCACCAAAGTCACATGAAACTCGTCGTTCCCAAAGGGCTTTACTAATATATTTTCTGGTTTTACGTCACGGTGCACAACACCAACGACGTTGTGGAGATAATCCAACGCCTCAAGCAACTGTTGCGCCACAAAACGCACCTGCGCCTCCGTAAAGACCGTGTCACGAAGAGCCTTAAAGAGCTCCGCGCCTTCCACGTGGTTCATCACAATAACAACATGAAGTGGTGTGTGAAAGCAGTCTAACAAGCGCACACAGTTCTTGTGGTTTATCCGCCGGAGCACCTCCACCTCGTTGATAACATCCAGCCGCATCTTTTCGGAGGTGAGGTCGCGCTTGTTGAACACCTTGAGCGCAACGGCGTCGCCCTTCCGCACCTCTTCCCCGTCCACAAGACTCACCGCCTTGAAGACCGACGCGAACGTTCCACGCCCAATAAAGTCGTAGATGTCATCCGTTTCATACAGCTGGTTGATGTGCAGCTCCTCACGAAAGGGAAAAAGCGACATTGCAAGAAGGGAAAAGGAGGGGGAAGTGTGTGAGCGCAGTCGCACCTTAAATTCCTTCGCGACGCAACACCACGTTCCACACAGATTTAAAAAAAAAAAAAAAGAGAGAACAACAAAAGAAGAAAAAGAGCGGACCGCATTCCAAAGCCGTCTCCAAGGGCAGCGTGCACAGACAGACATACAGATGTAAATATAAACAACGACGGGCGTATGCAATAAATCTCTTCAATAAATGTGAAAAACGGGAAACCCGTCAACTTTTCTGTACATTTCTACGCCTCGCCAGAAGTGAGACAAACAAAAAACCAGGAAAATGACAATATGCATCACAGAAAAGGAGTTTGGGATAAATTCAAAAAGACGGGGAGCAGGTCGCTGCTCTTTAATGTGCGTTGCCTGTCCCACCATCCGTCGCATCGACCGCACTCCGCATCGGAGGCGGCATCCATTCCCCTCACCATCAACCAACCTGCGCACACAAAAAGCAAAGTTGGCATCTGCTAAGTCACGGACTTCCAAAGGAGAATCGACATTTGCCCCCACGTGATGTAAATGTACCCCTTCGTCTCGTGCGTCACAAATGATCCAAAGTTCTTCCCAAAAACGCAGTGCCACACGCCCCTGTACTTCTTCTGGAACTCCCGCTTCACAAAGGAAGCCATGGCGTACTCAAGTGTCTCTGTTTCAAAGGCCTGAATGACGAGGTTCCGCGCATCCTCTTGCATTTCTTTCGTCATATCCGCATTGATGTTAAAATCGGCCAACTTTGCCATTTCCCTTCCCTCCTCACACTTCCCCTTTTGTTTGTTCCCTCGTTTAATATATACTTTTGCGTGTATGTATGTATATAGACCTCCGTGTCTGTCTGCTGCACTTATTACCGGGCGCAACTGACACTTCACCTAAAGTACATCATAAATCCAAATATACAGAGAAGCACAGGCACGACATGTACATTACAAACAGAAGAAAACACTATAAAACAAAACAAAACAAAAAAAAAAAACAAACAGAAAACACGAACACAAAAAAACACAACCGCACACACACACAGAGAGAGAGAAAGAGAGAGACAAAAAAGGGCTCATAAAAAAAAAAAAAAAAAAAAAAAAAAAAACGCGCTCTTTTGCCTTTTTTCTTTTTCTCTGTGTGTGTTTGACGGCAGATGACCATGTGAGTATCACTTGTAATTTTATTTTATTTTTTGGCTGGTCGTGGCGGTGGTGGGAGTGGGGAGCAACTGTGAAGTTTTTGCCTGCATTATAAATGCTTCTTTTTTTTTTCCTTCTTTTTTCGGATAATTAGGATCATTTGTATGCGTTTTTTTTTTTTTTGTTGTTGTTTTTGTCCCTCTCATACATATATATGTGTGTGTATATACCTACACGCACGATACTAAAATACGCGCCAACACACACACACACACACACACACACAGGCAGCAACGCACACAATTCCCCTTCCATTATTTACCTCCCGCCAGCCCCACTGTCCTGATTTGAGATTTTCTTCTCTTTTATTTGTCGGTACCTTTTTTTTTTACTGACTCGTTCCTCCTCCTCTTCTCGTGAATTCATTCGTAACTTTTCCCTCTGCTGTCTCTTCGCCTCCTGTCCCTTCGTGATGACCTTCAATCCCCTTTTTCGTTAGGGAGAGAAGTGGGAAGTAATGGGGGGATTGAGAGGGATACTCTGTCTGTCTATGTGTGTGCGTGTGGAAAAAAGGGTTAAAGGAGCTCCTTTAAAAACTTCCCCTTCAATTCTTTTTTGCCAAATGTCGGCCAGTGGCGCTCACTTCCGCACAAATATTCCCCACATTTGATATATATGCATATATCGTGGGGTGAATGTGTTCTCAGTAATGCCTCCCCCCTGTGTGTGCGTGTGCATCACTTAATAATGGCAAGAGATTAATTATACATACATATACATGTATATATAATTACATATATGTATGTATGTATGTTGTCCGCAGTATAAATGTGCATTTATGCAGAACTCAGCGGCCTCGTCCCCCCTTCACCCTCTTGGACCGGTCGCCTTGCAGTCTTTTGTGGCTGAGTCTACAACGGACTGCAGGGCTGTTTTTATTTCTCGTACGTGGCGCGTCAGTTCTACAATGGCGTGCTGCGACTCCTCTTGTCTCCGCGAAATAGACGTGAGGGCGTTGGTGAGCACCTCGTTTTGTCGACTGAGTGATCGGTTTGACGCCACAAGCGTGGAGTTGACCTTCGCAAGCGTCTCATTTTCACCTAAAAGCTGCCTGTTCGTCTGAAGCAGACGTTCAGTGTGCAGCGTTGCCTTTTTCATCGCGGCCGCCAGCTGAAACGCATCCCGCGAAAGGGACGTGGCGGTGACAACGTCGTCTGCGCTCCGCATCCCGTCGTCGCCCACTGCGGCGTCGCTGTCGTCGTCGTCATCGTCGCAAATGACGTCCCCCGGCTTTTCTACGCTCCACTCCGGCCGTGCCCCCACGCCCCTCTCAACCTCCTGTCCATGATCGACAAAACTGCCGTCGCTACTTTGAGCGTCCATGACGCCCCCTGACCTCACTTTCACCCCTTCCACACAAACAAACAAACAACAAAAAAAAAAAGGGGAAAAAAGTGAATCATTTCTCCTCGTTCCCCTATTCGATGTATATATTTCTATGTATATATATATACATGTATGTGTGTATTTACATCGCTGGTGCGCAAAGTTTCATTCCCCCCACAGTAAACTCGTCTGTTTCTCTCATGTCTCAATGTTTTACTTTTTTTTACTTCGCGCCTCGGGCTGCTTCCCTCCCGTTGCACCCACGCGATAGAGCACTCGTTGTGTGCGCGCTCTTAGGCAATTAACTCGCGTTCATTCATTTTAATTTTTACCATTTCATGAATTCCACTTTCGCCCTCCCCGGTTCCCCGTACGTAGGGGCAGGAGAGAACACATACACAGACCCATATTTCCAAAACAACAACAACAACAAAAATAACAATAATAAGAAATGCAAATCAAGCAATATTCACTTTCTTTCCTTCTTGCTGCACTTCTTCTCTCCCTTACGAGTGCTCCTGTGCGGAACTCCCGGCGTCAATCAAACCCTGGGCGGTGTTGAACAAGTTTACCGGTGACTTGCCGTCCGTGATGAGGTAACCCTTGAGGCCCAATCCTCCAAGCAACTTTGCCTGCATCTCGGGCCCGGCCTGTGCCACCGCCACAATCGTCTCACGTCCAATGGCGTTCACCATGCGCTGGACCCGCTCCGCCTCAGTTTCCGCTATTTGGCGCGCCTTCATGATATCCAGTTCGTTCTGCCTTTTTGTAAACTCCAATTCGAGCTCCAGTTTCTGCTTTTGTTTCTTTAGCTCCGATTCAGCCGTGATGCGGTACGCCTTTGCCCGCATCTCCGCCTGCTTCAACTCGGAGTCCACCTCAATGAGAAGCGACTCCGCCTTGGCCTTGGCCTCCGCCACGGACTGTCCGCTTGCCTGCACGGCCTCGCTTTGGGCCTGCAGCTGCAGCCACTTCGTTTTTGTCCGCTCCACCTCAATCTTATCAAGCAGTTTCTGTCGCTCCAGCTTTCCCCTCGCCCTCTGATCTTTGCGCTCCCTTCCGTGGCGTGCGGCGGCCTCTTGGGACTTGGTCGTGATCTTCATCGCGAGCTGCACCGATTTCTGCAGGCTTTCCCTCGTCTTGGCATCCGTC